CCCGAACTTATTTTATATATAATTTTCTACCCCTTTTCGACCTACGTGGCACTATCCTTGAAAAAATTGTTAACACGCGCTGGACCCACAATATAGTGCCACGTAGGCCGAAAAGGGGTAGAAAATTATATATAAAATAAGTTCGGGGGGGTGGGGGTGGGGGAGTAATAGGACCTTAGTAAATGTTAGGTGTGTCTCAGGAATTTTGGGCATAGGCTGGGGGGTACTTATGCATTTTTCCAACTTATTTTAGCATGATTTAGTACTTTTAAATTATGATCATTTTCATTATGACTTTGCAATATTTATTTTATATGATGATTTCATTATTATTTTTTATTGAATATTTTTGTATCATCAGTACTCATCTCATATTTAGTGTTATTTTTTAAGAAACACCTTAGATAATTGTATTTTGGTTGGACTAAAGAAATATTTGGAGCACAAATTAATTATATGTTTGTATGCAAACTTTATCGAAAAAATCCGAGGTTTATTAGTTTGGTTTGTATTTATGAATTTAAAAATTCGACACAATGGTTTGGTTTAGTATTTGAAAAACCCGAACCAACCTGAGGTTGAAAACCCGAAAAAATCCAAATTTTATTAGTTTGGTTTGGTTTATAAATTTAAATTTTTTACACAAATGGTTTGGTTTGATATTTGAAAAACCCGAACCAACCCGGTCATGTACACCCCTAGTATAAGTCAATATTAGAATATTTATTTATCAGCTAAACTTGTATAAAATTGAACAAATAAACACTTTCTCAGCAAAAACTTTTCTAAATTTTTATAGTAATTCAGTTAATTGGTTATTACTTGAACATCTACCTAAATTTTGGCAACAAGATTTGAAACTTTCATGGTCAAACACTGATTTTGAAATAAAGGGAAAACTAATTATTCTGGAAATTTAAAAAGAAAAATTCTCATGGCCATTAAAATTGAAGTTGTTTGGTCATTATTATGTTGATGAAATTTATACATTAGTTGTAAATCGATTGTTCCAATAGGTTATATTCCCATTAATTAGTTAGCTTCAAATGCAATTTTTCTCCCTAATAATTACTTGTTTCATCTACCATTATTTTTTAAAAGAAATTTCTCTTAATAACATGTTCTTACTGTCATAAAAATGTCATGGTTGCATCTTTCAGAGCTGAAGTTGTAACTTAGGGGTACTTTAGGTATATAAATGTGACAAAAGTTATTTTTTCCCCTTAATTTTGTGTTTAGTCAAACAGTGATACCTCATATAAAATAAAATAGAATAAGTAGATGATAGACTTTTTGGCATAATACATAAATATGTCTTTTAACTTGACTTCAACTAACATATATGTTTTTCAATTTTGGGTGTGCACAAGTAGACAATTAAACTTATATAAAATTGAACAAGTAAAAACATGTGTCCTACGTGGCATAATACACGTAGGATGCCACGTAGGACACAAATTTGTCAAGTAGGATGAATGTATCTATTTGTTCATATTTATACAAATTTAAGTGTCTACTTGTGCACACCAAAAAATTAAAGGTCATAATTGCTGGCTGAAGTAAAGTTAATGGTCATGTTTATGTATTATAGATGATATTTATGGCGAAGAGATAGTACTTAATTAGAAAAAATGATATTGTGTTGAAGCACCTAATTTAGGTTAATTATTTGAATTTATGTCTAATTAGTTGTGAATAAAGACCACTCCACTAGCAAAACAAAATTCAAAATTCTTCCTAGTTACATTCAACTTAATTTCTCACTATATATATACTCTTTAATTCCTTCCTTCAACAATATCATCCATCCCTTCATATCTCTCATCCTTTCACAAATTGCCATAAAATCATGAAATTCCTTTTGATTTTAGCCATAATTATGGCATTATCTATACCACTTACAACATCATTTTCATTCAATGAACCTCATTACAATATTCCAACATTACCTCTTTCAAGAATTGGCCATTTTCAACCACAAATACCATCTTATAATGATGATCCCAAGTTAAAAATCAAAGAAATGCTTACACAAATGACATGCAATAAGAACCCTATGATATGTTGGGCCAAGGATAGTCCAGGCCCATTTTGTTGCAATAAAAAGTGTGTAAATGTGTTGATGAACAAACAAAATTGTGGATTTTGTGGGAATAAATGTAAGTATAATGAAACTTGTTGTAAAGGACAATGTGTCAATACTTTGATTAATAAGAGACATTGTGGGGGTTGCAACAACAAGTGTCAAGAAGGAAGTTCTTGTGCCTATGGAATGTGTAGCTATGCTAATTAATATCATCAAGGGTTGCAGTGGGATGGACAGTATCCCTCGAGCCCTGTGAATGGAAAAAAATCCTGATAGATAATGATTCTTCCTTTAACATGTCTTACGTGACGTGAATCCTAGTTAGTTGGGCCACATGCAAGTACAGGACACCGGATAATATTTTTTTAAAGATACAAAAAACAATAATACTTTAATTCATTAGTATTCCACTCAAAAGATTAATTAATTTATTGATTGTGTAATAAGTTAAAGTAGTCTGTTGTTGATTTGCTCATTCTATTAATAAAATTATTGCTCTTTACAGTATCTATAGCACTAGCTTAAAAATCTTTTAGATATTTCTCCATTATTTGTTATAATGTTATTGACTTTCTTTTAATTTGGGAATTTACTTCATATTATCTCCCCATGTACAACAATAAAAAGTTTCATATTCATTTAGATTAATGTTTTGTATATTGCATATGTTAGGCACATACTTTATATAGTTAACATTTTCAACAAAAAAATGACTTTCGGCATATCAAAGACACTCCAAATCATATAAAGAGAAATAAGGTCGTACAATCGTCACTTGAAATTAGGTTTTAGTATTCAAAATCACCATAGCAATCCTTATTAATTCAAATAAAAATGGCTTTTTTATTTTTTAATCCATAAAAATAAAAGATCGAGTGAAGAATCATGTTGACCCTAAGAAGGTATTAGACATTTTATATTTCCTATTGATTTATGTGATCCAATTGATTCATTACATTTTTATTTAATCATATCTCAATATGTTCTATTTATGTTTTTATTTCTTTTTCATGAGTCGATCACATTAAAATTTTCTTTGATAATATGTTGTGGTGAGACTCAAATTCAATTGAAGTATTTAATTAGCCCGATACTATATTAAAATGTGTGATCATTTAATCTAAAAATGTAAGTTATTACGGAAAAAACACTTTCATGTGATAGTATTTTCATAATAGTTCGTTCCAAAAGATTGACACACTTCTATATTAGTAACATGAGTTCTCAAAGCATTAGAAATTATCACATTAGGAATATTAGCACTAGACATACTCATAATAATTATAACAACAACAAGCCCAGTGTAATCCCACAAATAGGATATGGAGATCGAGGAAAGTGTGTACGCATGCCTTACTCCTACCTTAAAAGGTGGAAAGGTTGTCTCTGATAGACCCTCAGCTACTTTGAAATATAAAAATATATATAGATATAATTAAGTGTTTTTAGTGAAGTTTAAATATCTATCATGATCACTCAAGAGCATGTCAAGATTGAGTGCTGTGGAGACTGTCAAGCCAACAAAAACAAGAACAGAGAGGGCAGATAGAAGCAACATTAGCCCATTAGCAACATGACTTTCTACTTGATGTGCATATTGTGCAGAGGCTAAGGCTAGGAATGTGAGGGGAAATGAATAAGCCCACCATGCAACATTGAACTTTCTCATTGATTTCTTGAATAGACTTGGCCTACAAACCTAAATTAAATCATGAAAAAAAACAAGAAAGTTATTAGATAGATGTCTATGGTAAGTGTGACATATATAGGGTGTACGCAGAATTTTTCATAAGCGATGTCAGTATATATGAGTTTCTATAATGAACTTAAGTTAGTGCATATTGAATTCACAGTCAAATATTTATAGATATTTAATGGAGAAAAAATTATTGACTTCATGTGAACCTACATGTTATATTGTGGATCCGCCTCTAATCACATATAGATGTCTATGGTTTATATATATGACCTTACAAAAATAATTATTGGTTTCTAAACTTGGAAATAATTTAACATAAACTTCTCATTTGATTCTTAATGAGGTGCATTTATACTCGCATAAAAGTTATGGCATGCTTATTTAACACTTGTAACTTACAAAAAAAGAAGAAGTTATAGCCACGTGATTATCATGACATGCTTAATACTACTAGTTTCAAAAGTCTTTTTTTTTTAAACTCTAAAATTGAAACGGTTCCGGAAGTAGCAGAAAGAATAAAATCTCTCTTGTACTGGAGAGTTTCCCCCCTAAGGCATCCCCCCTTCTCTTACTTAGATGGAGAAATAAGTAAGCAAGACTTTCTACCTGGCCTGTCTTTCTTTTCTTAAAAAATGGCGAATTACACCGAATTTTACCTTCAACCAAGCCTTTTCGTTCCGAAATCGAGAAAGATCACTCTGAAAAGTAAGCCCTTTCTTATTATACGATATCTTCTCCATGGATGATAGAATTCCTCCTGGAAGCGAAGGCAGGGAGTATTAAGTATTATGTAAAGAGAATATATAGTGGGATTAAGACTACTAGACATGGGCCTTAAGGGGTTGATAGATTATATGAGAATAATATATACTGATACAGACAGTTCTACCGTTAAACCATGTATTAGTTATACATCATATATATATATATACACAACTGTCTATTATTTAGAATAACGATACATTACATATACATTCCGCCGATTTTGTTGATTATTTTTTGGGTCACATATACAGTTATACAAGAAGCTTTTATATAGTAGGCCATGCAAAAGAAAGCCTATACAAATAAAGCTTTGAACTTGAAAATTGTGACACCCCTCTCTTTGCCTTTGCTCTAATGGAGATCCAATTTCCATTCAACTTCATTTTCTTAATCCTTTTCCTATCATTCCTCTATCTACTACTTGTAGAATGGAAAAAATCAAGAAACTTTAACAAGAAACTTCCTCCAGGACCATGGAATTTGCCTTTCTTAGGAAGTCTTCATCACTTGGCATTAGAAGGTGGACTTCCTCATCATGCACTCACAAACTTGGGCAAAAAATATGGACCTTTCATGCACCTTCAACTAGGCGAAACTTCTATGGTCGTAGTATCTTCTCTGGACATGGCGCGAGAGGTAATGAAAACTCATGACCTTGCTTTTGCATCGAGGCCTAAATTAGTATCCCTCGACATAATATTTTACAAGAGCACGGACATCGCGTTTAGTTCTTACGGAGAATATTGGAGACAGATGCGCAAAATATGTGTCTTGGAACTTTTCACTGCCAAGAATGTACGGTCTTTTAGTTCCATTAGGCGAGACGAGGCTTCAAGCCTCGTGCAATTCATCCGATCATCAACACGTGGCGAGCCGATAAACGTTACGGAACAGATTTCATGGTACGAGAGCTCAAATACAAGCAGAGCAGCATTTGGAAAATTGTTGAAAGATCAAGAGAAATTCATTGGATTAGTGAAGGAATTGGTGGAATTGGCTAGTGGATTTAGTGTGGCTGATTTTTTTCCTTCAATCAAGATCCTTCATGTACTAAGTGGAGTGAGGAGTAGAATCTTGAAAGTTCACAAAAATGTTGATGCTATTGTTGAGGATGTTATCAATGAGCACAAGAAGAATATTGCAAGTGGTAAAAAGGGAAATGGTGCATTTGGAGGTGAAGATTTAGTTGATGTACTACTAAGATTAAAGGAGAGTAGGGAACTTAAAATCCCAATCACCAATGACAACATCAAAGCAATTATG